AATATTATTATTATTAATTTTATTATTAAGAATATATTTATTAAGAATATATTTTTTATCAATATTATTTGATTATAATACAAATATATAATTTTTCGTCAAGTTGAAAAATAATTTTTCCTTTCTTTTAGGAAATTTAATTTTTTTAGCTGTCATTTTTGAAGTAAGGAAGCGATATATTAGTCAGCATGATGTTCAAAATCAGAAAATTATAATGTAATATCTAAAAGATATTATTAAAAGTTCATTTTTATTATTAAAGTCCATTTCTGAAATAGATTAACTTTAACTTCTCAATTCAGCTTACTCTTCATTTTTTTCTAATTCTTAAAATTAAAAAGAATTAAAAAGTTAATTGAACCGAGATTAAAATTAAACTGCATTGATAGAAGCGAGCATAAAACATCTTTAAAAACGTTTTTTAAAGCTCAATTTCATGGTAAGATTAACTTTTATCTTGGTTTAATTTTTTTCTGTTTACTTTTTCTAATTCCAAGAATTAAGAAAAGATAAAAAATAAGTTAAACAAAAATTAAAATTAATTTTACATTGATGGAGCTTAAGATGTCTTATGTCCCGATTCTTCAACATGCGTGTTGGAATAATATTATAATTAATGTAATTCATTTCTAATCTTTTACAAGTTACAAAATACTTAATTATCGAAATTAATTCAAACGGAATATATAATCCGTTATAATATATAATCCGTTTAGATTCACGCAGGCATTCGTTGATGTACGGGAGCGAGAACGCAGTTTCAAAAGAGGCAGCCGAGAGCAGGGCAGGAGCCTGATGAATCTGCACAACAACGAAGCCGGTCGCAGGGTAAAGTTCGTTCTTTTCTTAGCTTGCAAGAAATGTCTCTATAAATGTCGCGTCGCGTTAAATACACATGTATCGATTTCTCGCGATTTAATGCGAATTCCATTGAACCAAAGCGCGGTAACGAAACTAATGCGCCGACTATTCATCCCCCGCAGGCCGTCGTCAAAAGGTCTAAGGTGACGTGCAAATGTCACGGCGTTTCCGGAAGCTGTAGCCTGATTACCTGCTGGCAGCAGCTCGCATCATTTCGTGAGATCGGTAGGTCTAACACAATTAACATCCCTAAACGACAATTAATATCTTTAAATGACGCAAAGTCTAAAGAATAATTTAATTCTTGGTAGATACAATAGATTATTTGTCTTGCACATTTTGTTTTCTTTAAAATACTTAATAATACTTAATAATACTTAATAATACTTTACTAAATAGTAATCTAAATATTAATAATACTTTATTAATACCTTTAAAATTTGAATGCTTTTACAGTGTTCTCTAGAGACTTGTGCCGTTTGGGGAATATTTATGCAGACAGCGATACAATTTTGTGTATTTTTAGGTGATTTTCTCTTGGACAAGTACGATGGTGCGACCGAAGTCAAAGTCAATCGGCGCGGTCGTTTGTCGATGCGCGATCCTAGGTTCTCCGTGCCCACTGCGAATGACTTGGTCTACCTGGATGACTCGCCGAACTACTGCCTTCCGAATGATACCCTGGGATCACTAGGTAGCTCTATCACTTTCAAGGATTTTACATATTTTTTATATGGAGTATTTTTATTTAGGAAAAGAAACGAAAACTCTCTCTCTCTCTCTCTCTCTCTCTCTCTCTCTCTCTCTCTCTCTCTCTTGTATGTAAGATTTATTTTTCGAAAACTTAAGACATTTTTTACGAAAGATCAATTTTATAACAGGTACGCAGGGCAGATTATGCAATAGGACCTCGTCCGGGATGGACGGTTGTAATCTCCTTTGCTGCGGCAGAGGATACAACACGCAGAAATCGACCATCAGGGAAAGATGCGAATGCAAGTTTCACTGGTGTTGCTTCGTCGAGTGCAAGACCTGCGTAAAGAATATCGATATACACACTTGCAAATAGTGCGCTACTATTTATTTCTTTCTTTTCCATAACTCTTTTTCGGACTTGTCTTCGCATTGTCGAAGATATATGTACGTACACTTGACAGTACAACGTATTCTGAAAACTGTGGCATTATTGTTTCACAGTAAATAAATTTTGAATATTTTTTTCTAATTTAAAATCTTATTCATTAAATAAATTTTATTAAAACTTCTTTTTTTCCGCAAATGTATGTGTGGTACGTGTGTATGGATGTTTTTATGCAATATTATTATTGCGAGATTCTTTTTCAGCGCTAAAAGATAAATTTTATCAGAATATTAAGTAATCTATATTTTATTAGAGAAATTAGTTTGTCTTATCATAAATTATTTGTGGCCTATGAAAAAAAATTTTAAGCGAATCAAGAAATTTTTTATTGTGTCCATAAGAATTAAGTACTCATAAATGATCATTAAATCGATATTTAATTCTTTTAACGGAGACAAATGAAATATAAACAAAAATTGCATTTAGTCTCCCATGTTAAATTAAAATGACTGCAACAATTAAACAAATTTTGTAAATTTGTATAACGCATCGAGATGTCTCTCGCGTATTGCTTTATTTTGAAAAGGGATTTATCAATTATCTAATTATTCCGTATTACAAATAAATTATTTTGAATCCATAATTATACCGCTCTTTATATAACTACAGTAGTTGCTTATATATTTAAAAAATTATAACATAAATTATTTAAAGTGTTTATTGCATTTTTATTTATTTGCTCAGAACAAGCGATTTAATTTAGCAATCCGCAAAGTAGCATAAACGAGCGACATTGCGAATTACTTAAGAATACTTAAGAATTCAAAAGGGATACTTAAGAATATTGTGAGTAAAAGTACCAACTATCCGATATAAAATATAATTGCGTTATTACGCAAACGTTGATAGTAAAAGGGGAAACAAATGATTTCAGGAAGCTGAAAGAAATCCAAAATTATTTTTTTAATTCACATATACAGAATGATATGGAAATATCTCTGGTAATTAATAAGTAAAATTCAGCATATAAACTGAATTTGTAAATTATAAACTTATATATCTAAACTTATATGTCCAATCACTAGACAATTTCATCATTTTCAGAATAATTTCTATATTAATCTGTATATGTACATATACCTAACTTAACTTAAATTTTCTATTACAGTCATTATGATAAGAATCACGTAACAACATTCCAGACCATGTCTGATGGAATGTACTCGCCTTAAGTAATGATGTAGATTTTAAGTCACGGCGTTGTATCTCTAGTAGACTAGACATTTATTTAACAGGGATACAATTATTTATTTTTACTCCTAGATACTGTATTGTACAAAATTCGGTATTTCACAGTGGATAGATGTTAAGATAATAAAATATCTTATATATCGATCACCAAGCTTTGCCTTATTTCGTTTTTACTAAGAAGAAGCAAAATGTTACGATTACGTCGCACTTAGTATTTGTATGTACACTATTATATTGTATGTATGTTGTTCCTTACTTTGCACTTACAATCTCTTTACATTATTATACAGAGACAAAACTATTCGTGAATTTCCCATGGTTTTTCCGGTCGAAAACTGTCCCAAGAATTTGGATACTTGTAAACTTGTGATTCAGTTAAAACGATGTTATTCTTTTCTAATTCTTTAATCAATAATTCACATTTGTCTCCAGTTAATGCAGCATCAACCTCCATTTCACAGATCCCAGCCTCTAGGCAACGTTGAGCCAACACTCGTCCTATATTAATATAAGCTGAACTGTCAGTAGTCCTGAAACATTCACATAACGTCAATAGAATAAAAAAATTAGACGAGACAATTAATAATAAACAATCTAAATTTAACTGAATCTCAGTACCGATACAATTGTTTCTTCAATGCCCATTCTGCACTGGAAGCTGAAACAACTGGTCCATTTTTGAAGTGGCAGACTTCGGCTATGATATAACGTGACTTTTTAATCAGGAACAGCCTATATTTAAATTAGCATAACATTATGATCCTAACATTATAATTAAATTCATTATAATGAAAAAGATAACATATGTTTTCATTCATTTAATAATGGAAATATCTAATAACAAATTCACTATTATACTAAATTAATATATAATAAAAGTTATTGTATTTATTAAAGATTTGCTTTATATAAAGTATATAAATACAATAGCATAGTGTAATGATCAACTTTGTTGATCAATAAAATCAATAAAATAATACATGTATATTCTGTTAAATAATGTGACGATATTGTTATTGGATATTTAATTGTTAAAAATATTTATATATTTTTATATATAATTATTTTCTTGTATAATAGCTCTTGCATAATCTAATATAATGCAAGTGAATTCACTATTATACCGAAATCAGCAAAACTAAGTACAAAAGCATGTATATAAATGTTAATAATTAAATGTCCATATAATGACACTGTCACATATTATTCAATAGACTATACATGTTTCATTGTAAAACTAATTATATTATCTGCATTTATACATATTTTGTATAAAGCAGCCTTTAATGTTACTGATCTAGTGTAGTACAAGTGATTGAGTTCCATCATAATGAATGATGATTTCGTCACAGGACCGTCGTGACTTGATAAAATCTTACTTGTGCCAGTACATACACCCTGATTTTTCAAGATGATAACCTTGGGGTTTTCTCGCTATTCTCAACCGTTCCAAGTTTCGTGGATTTCGGTTCACAATTTCAGTGCACGCCTTGATTAATTCCGCATTGCCGTGCAGTTCCCGGTGCATACGGAACATGCGAGTAATACCGGCGCGTACGTTTACCGAATACATGATCTTTGGATCGTAATAGTCGTTACTTTTGTCACTCGAATCTCGGCACTATAATATCGGTTTCCGAGTTAAATTACTTGAACAATGTTTTTATTTTCTTTCAGAAAAGAAATCCAGGTTAGGTCTTCCTTTGATCATCTGTTGGCATTAATCAGGCTGCGTTCGGATTCTCATCCGCGTGCTTCTCAGGTGTCATTCTTGTTTAACGTTCGGTAAACAACAAGGATGATATGACATCCAGGGAATCCGCAGCCTTGAATAGCTGTGTAATCAGCGGACAGAAAATAAATAATCAGTATTCTAGTAAGTCCGCTCCCTTTTATAATTTTCACCACATTTCACAAGATATAGAATCGATCCTCTCATTTCAAGATACAGAATTGATCCCCTTGAAACGAAGTGAAAATTATAAAAGTGAAACAAATTTACTAGAATACTGATAATTTCATTGGTCAACACCTAGTAAATTTGCTCATTTTTGTAATTTTTACCTTGTTAGAAGATACAAAATCGACTCCTTGTACACAGCTATTTTTTGCTCTTTCTTCTTCTGTCTAAATGATCTAATAAATAGGTCTGTTTTTTTTGACTGAACTTTTGCACCAATTCATCTTTCTTCATTTTTTTTCTCCTGGAGAGAAAAGGAAGAAAGATCAACTGGTGCAAAAGCTCAGCCAAAAGAACAGACCTAAAGCCTTATGTCCGATATCTCTAGCATCGTGGACATTGGGAGAACCAACCAACTACAGTCCAGCATTCCTCTGTCGTTTGACTGAAACAGAGAAATACTCGAACTGTAGTTGGTTGGTTTTTATATTCTGATCCGATTTAAACTCTGGGTGGAAACTAAACCAATAGCTGCGTTTAACGGACTCAACAGTTGAGTGAGCACTCGCTGTTATTAGTATATTCTTTTAGATTATCCAAGCATTTTAGATCTGGAAGAATACGTCAATAGCAGCGAGCGCTCACTCAACTGTTGAGTCCGTTGAATGCGCCCAACAATTTTATATTCTTAAAGTATCAAAGAGAAATCTAGTATTAATCATGAAACTTTTTTCCTAGGATAGAAAATAAAGGAGAGTGACAAATTTTTCTATTAACTTCAATGGTTATAATTTTCATTTTTTACTTTCTAATGCTAGAATTGAAAAAAGATGAGAAATAAGTTAAACTTCAGTTAAAAGTTAACCATAAGTTATGAAACTAGACTTAAGAAAATGAATAATTCTATCTGTATTAAGAAAATATTATTGGTATTAAATGAGAATTCGGTCGGTTTTTTTTTAAATTTTTCTTAAATTTTTTTCTTAAATTTTTATACTAGAATCATAGCTGTCATAATGTACGAATATGTAGATACAACACGCTAAAATTTAGAAGCCTAGAAAGTTCGCCATAACGCTTGTCCCGATATACATGAGTTTAGTGACCCTACGCGAATGCGAAAGACTACGAGAAATAGAACAGGATGGAGAGTGGAGGTCGAGTGGAGTAGGAGTCGAGTGAATACTAATCGTGAGAGAGAAGGAACGAAGGGATAATTTAGATTATTTTCAACGTTGCAATCTATCTTTTCGCAATGAGTACCGTCGAATATGGTTTTCCAATGATAGGCGGATTAATGCCGGTAAGCAAAATTAATGGATCAATCACTAACATGGAATTTTTATGTGAAAAAGAGATAAAGAAATCGCACTGGGTCACTATTCTATAATCTCCTTAATTCATCCTTTCGCGAAAGAATGGCTGCTTTTTTAATTTAAATTATATTTTTTAGCAAATACAAGCCCTCATTGCACCACCAATATCCGATGACTCAAAGGCGGCGAAAGCAAAGAAGGAAAAAGAGGAGAAAAAGCATCCGTACTTCAAGAGACGAGGTCGTGGTCATAATCGTGACTTCTGCGACGCTTGTAAAGATGGTGGAGAGCTCATATGCTGTGACAAATGTCCAGCTTCCTATCATTTACAGTGCCAGTAGGTGTGATTAGAACAATCGCTATCTTCTTCAAAAATTTTTGTTACAAGATATTGAATTTTTATCTGTTGAGTTCTAAGGAAAAGATATATTTCTAAAGTTTTTACTTTACAGCTATCCAGCAGTAGATCCGACAGATATTCCTAATGGAGAATGGTTGTGCTATGCCTGCCGTTGTGCCTCTAAAAGGGAGGAACTTTTTGATGAAAAGGGGAATGAGAAGAAAAAGAGATCAGCTCTAGAAGTATTAACATTGGCGGCTTCTCTGGTAAATCCAAGAGAGTTCGAATTACCTAAGGAGTTACAGTTACCTATAATGTTTCCTGGAAGCAATAAAGTGGATTATGTAACTGGCAGAAGAGGTAAACCACCAAGCTCATCATATAACAATGGTAGGCAAGATAAGATTGAATGTATTCTTCCTTTTTTCTTTTTGTCCCTTTTTTTGCACTTAAATAAAGAATAAATTTATATTTTGTAATATCAATTAGTGTTGCAACTAGTATTACAAAAATTAATTTGCTTCAAATTAAGACTTGTATTAAACAATAATTTTCTTTTTTAGTTGGAAAAAGTCATTGTTTGGATAGCAACTTAATGGTTCCATTGCCAGCACGTTTATGTTATGAATGTAGACGTAGTTGCAGAAAAGCGCCATTAATCGCTTGTGATTATTGTCCGTTATATTTTCATCAGGATTGCTTGGATCCACCGTTGACTGCCTTTCCTATCGGCAGATGGATGTGTCCAAATCATCCGAATCATTTCATAGATCAGCATCTGTTGACTTCTTGTAGAGTGACAGAACGCATAAAGCTCTGGGATAAGTATGCCAATCAACGAATAGATCAGCATGCGGTGAAACTAGACTTTTTACGTAAAGCGCGGGCTGCCAATCCACTATTTCGCACAAAGGTGAAATTGGAAGGTCGTCCAAGAATAAAAGTTCCTTGCAGCATCAAATTCCATTATGAGCATCCGCCGCACTTAGATCCTGTACATTCTTATCAAAATAGTCTTATATGGCCTGTAAACAATATTAGTGCCAAGACATTACCATGTCTCCAAATTACAGATGAAGAAGAGCAACAGAAGACAGATGTCGAGAAAATAGATAGCAAAGATAATTGTATAGAAGATAAGAAAACTGAAGAAATTAATGAAGCAAAAATGAAAGAGAAATATAATACTACTCCAGATGAGGGAAGTGATCAACAAAAAGTATCAAATGTGAGTGAAGACACAAATAAAGCAGAAAGTGAAATGATTGAAACTGTGACGGATAATTCTAATGAATGTAATGATCACAATTTTTATACGAGTAATGATGGTTATAATATTAGAGAAGGTATTCAGTTGTTAGAAAGACCAGTATTAGAGGCATTAGCTCAACAGAGACTCGAGCAAATATTAAATCCAAATGGAGAAAGTTATAAAAGAATAAATTGTCATAAAAGAGCAAGAGCTGCATTATTTTCTTTAAGCCCTAAGCCTAATCCACCAGCATTCATGACTCATAAAACCTTCATTATTGGCAATGGTCCGAATTGTGATCTAGTTTTGTCAAATTATGGAAGCTGTGGATTCACATCCCCTAGACACGCAGTTATATTTTTCGATGAAGTAAGTAGATATCGTACATTTTCCTTTTGGGAGAATTTCGAAAAAATTAAGAAAGTTGAACTGACATAAAGGATCTTTTTTCCTTTTTTCATTAATGCCTATCTCTGTTATAGGTGACCAAACATTATGAATTACTTAATTACAGCGAATATGGAACGGTTGTAGATCACGTGCTGTATTCTTGCGATTGCACTCGTGTTTTAGAAGAGCAAATAAAAGAGGAAAAGACTGATAAAGTAATATGCGTCACTAAGGAGGAAGAAACTTCTGATATAATAAAAACAATTCTGCACAAGGAAAAAACTTGTTTAGAAGAAAATGTGCACACGGATGAAAGAATATTATGCAAGTGTAATATAAAACGTGATTCAAGCGATCTGGAAGAGGGATGGGAAGGAAGTGCAATCATTGCCCATGGTTCGACTATTAGTTTCGGATGTCTCATGTTCGTATTTAACACATTAGATATGTATGTAGATAGATGAAATTCGATAATGTAAAATATTGTACAAAGGAAATTTTATAAAGTGATACAAAATAAATTAACAGCATTTCTTGTGCAGCAGTATCTTTTTATTTTCTCTTTTAGTAACTGATTGAAAATATATCAAATATACACATCGGGATGTAACACTTTTCTTTTTTTTTACAAAATGATTAAGATTCATTTAACTCGTTATCTTCTGGTCCGTCGAAGTCTCTAACTTTTACATCTTCATCTTCACCATATTGTATGGTATTATCGATCGTTAATTTTATGTCTGCGATACTTTCCTCATTCTTAATGTTTAATGGTAAGAAACGCACTAAGCTATAATCTGCTATAACTTTACCAATATTTTCTGTAAGACTGCGATACTTCTCATTCCACGGATCTTCTTCTGCATCTAATAAACTATATGGATCGGGATCAAAGTAGCTGTCTAATTTTTTCCGTGTACTCTTCGATATTAAGTCCATTTTGCTAAGAATACTAATATGCGGAATTTCCAAGTTTATCATTACACTAAGAGCAGCCAGAGTTCCTGATATAAACTTTGATGCATCTATCATAAATTGAACATCTATCAGAAACACTCCACATATACGGAAATTAAGTTTTTGCAGAGTAGTTATCAGCTCTCGTATCACAGTCATGTGAGTATACAATTCAATTTGTCCAGGACAGTCAAATATTATATAATCATCATCTACATCACCTAATTTCTCTTCTAACCAACTTGAATTTTCAACCAAGTACCTATAAAAAAAAGCATGATTTTTATTGCATAAAAATATTAAAAATAATAATGGGTTAATGTCTAGCTCTAGTGAAGCTTTAGTGAAATGATGGACATCATTGATAAATTGTAGGTTCATCTTCTTATTTTATATATCAGTTTTACAAAAGATAGATTGAAAAATTAAGTTGTGAGTGAGAATTATGAAATGACAATAGCAAAATTAAGTAAATTCAAAACATATATTTCAATAAGATATAAAAATATAGAAAAATAATATATTTAATGAGAATTAAGTAACTTACTCCATACAGAATACAAGTCCACCATTGGGTCCAAAGTTGAATTCATCATCTTCCATGGTATCATCTAACTGAATTAAATCTCTTATATCTGCTAAGGGCTCATAATTGAAATATTCTGCTGCAGGATCTAAATTCACAATATCTACTGTTTTTTTCGAGTCAACAGCATGTCGTTGCATAACTGAACAGTAAGTAGACTGTTTAAAAACAAGATAAATGCAAATATTAATAGAATTATTCAACTTAGATGGCTATTTAATTAATATGAGATTAACAAATAATTCAAATTTATTACCTTGCCGCTACCGGCTGGACCCATTACTAGCTGTGCATATCTCATTTTGGCAGGAAAATATATATGCTTGGTTAGTAAATGTACAATAACATTGCTTATATTTCTTATATACTACTAATTTTTATATTCTATATAACTTATTTCATTGAAAGAAAAATTGCGCAACACTAAAGTAATTGAAAGCAATAATCTCAGAACGATATTACTTCATGCAGAAAAGATGCGTAAATAAAATCTAACTTAACCTAGTCTAACCTAGACCGAACTCAAGTGAAGTCTCAAGTTTCTCTCTAAAAATCTTTGATACCAACAAAGAGATAAAAAGTACTAGGCAGCAACGTGTAGTAATAAATATCTATTATCCAATACGAGAACTTGTTTCCTAGAGACCATATTTGTGATTTGAATTATTAAATCATATTATTTAAATTATTATTATTATTTATTAACTTATTAATAACAATGAATCAAATTTGATTACTAGAATCATTATGAATAAAACTTGAATCATTATATTATTTGATTTATTATTATTATTATTAATTTCATTATTTGAAAAGGTGGCTAAGGTGGCTTAGGATAAAATTCAAATTTGACGCGCCAATTTCAAATTCTATGAGACTTTTTTGTTGGAAGAAACAATACAAATTTTTTTTACGCAGGATCTTTTTGTAAACAGAGATAATAAACTTATTAAATGGTACCAATTTATTCTAAAAATTTCATTAATACATTCATACTCAATTTGTTATTTCGATAATTTATTATCCAACTTTGAACAATATATATGTACTACATATCACTCTTATATAATATGTTCATATAAAGATTGAACAAGTATTAATTATAATATTTCTCAAGGTGCTTGCAGTGTTGTCGCTATATTATTTATCTTTGTTTCTCGTTCCATCACCATTTTTTCTAAACTACTTGGCAAATTTATTCCAATTAAGGCACTTAACACACTTTTCTTTGGTACACCAGCATCCTTTCGCTTTTTTCGTTGTACTTTATTTTTCTTCCTCTCCTTGGGTTTGTAATGACGTTGAATATGTTGTACCAACCTTGCCTTCGTCGTAAGTCCCATGGAGCATATGTCGCAATAAAATTTTTTTCCAAGATGAATAGCTTTTACATGCTCATCTAAATTAGATTTAAAAAAGTAAGATCTATGACAATTATCATATGGGCATGGTAGAACCAATCTGTCTTCAAAATGTATTTTACTGTGTTTTCTTAGATAGTCTCTTTTAAGAAAAACTTTGCCACAAGTATCACATTTATAATCTGAAATAAAAATTTTGTTCTACTAGATTACATTCTTATGACATATTTAACCTTCTATATAATACATACTTGTTACATGTTTTGTTTTTATATGCGCATTTAGAAGCATCAAGTTTCTGAATTCCTCTGAGCATTCAGAACAAGGATAATGTTTCTCATGTATCTTTCGATGCCGGTCAAATATAGACAAAGTTCCAAAACTTTTATTACATTTATCACACTTATACATAGATCCTAAATGCTGTTCAGCTTGATGATTGATTAATTGATATCTCTTGTTAAAAGATATACCACATTCTTTACAGGAGAGTTTCTTCTCGCTGTGCACACGCTTATAATGACGTTTCAAATTATGTAAAGTACTCATCAACATTAAGCATTCTTTACATCTGAAATTAATACAGATATATAAACAATATATGTGTATATATATATATATATATA